GACTCTGTGGTATCTTTTATCTCAAGCCCACCGGGATATATCGTATCGACATAAGAATGGAAATAACCATTGTTAATTGACAATACGTCGTCGATATATCTAAATGTCGAGGTGAAGGCCACAGCAAGTGTTTTCTTCTTTTCATCTTTTCACGTTTAAGATTTTGGACAAATTCTGCTTCATATGAATACAAAAAAAGTCTGCTAATAACGGGGCGCAATTGGTACCCATTGGAATTCCAATAGATTGTTGGAAGACCTGGTCTCCAAAAACCACATAGATATTGTCAATCAGAAACTCAAGCATCATTTTAATATCAACTTCAGAGTACTTGTGTGTACAATCAGAATGTTTTTTTAACAAAATAATCTTGCAAATGACCAATGACAAGGTAAGTAAATTTACGAGTTCCATTTTTATTGAAAAAGCAGCTGTCAATGATATCAAAAAGCCTGGACTTTAAATTTATCGTGGGGAATGGTTGTGTATAAAGTTGAAAAGTCGAAATCTTGTGATTTCAAATTTTCCAAAAGTTCCTTGGAATTTTTAAGTATCCACATCTGATTTACACCACTTCTCCAATATATTGTTGCACAGTACTCTTGAAGTTTCTCCTTCACTACTGTTAATATCTTAGTGAGGAGTAAAGAAAGAGGCTTGGTTGAACATTTACTGGAACCCGCTATGTATCTTTGTAAGGATTTTTATGAAGTTTCAGAATTCAATATAAATATGGTAATTCAAATTCATTTTGGTTGTTGGGAATATTAAAAATATTCAAAACTGACATATGATTTTGAAGAATGTCTTCCTTAGAAAGGGAACTATGAGTATAAGTTGGATTACCACTGGTAGAATTAAATCCAAGTTCCTCTAAAATACATTTAATATAATGAGCCTTACAAACAAAGACACTAAAATTAGTGATCTAATGTCCTCATTATTAACTATATTTACGTCACCAGTAATAACGTGTCCAGATTTATAGTTATAGGGTGAAGAAGAACATGAACACGATGGAGGATTATGTTTCAGATATTCAATATCAAGGCCCTGTAAAATTTTCTTGTTATTAAGAAGTTTGGAAGTAATAGTCGATGTATATTTGTAGGATATACAAGGTGTAGTCTTTAACTTGAAATATGGTGGAATACAAGACTGGGCCCTTTTGTGATTAAGAATATTACTTATATTAACCTCGTCAATTCCTTTGTTGGCATATTGAAGTTTAAGGAAAAAACGGACTGTTTTAGCTGCATTTTCTTCAGTAAAACGTGGGGGTTTAAAAAGACTATGATTTGCAATAGCCATAATCACAGATCCGAGCGTATATTCTGGTGTCTAGGAATCAAAAAATGGACTTTCCTTGACCTTTTCAAGAAGACTATTTAAAAGTTTCAAAGGGACAGAGTAAAGGTTGGTGTGAATATGATGTAGACTTTTGATTTACGTAAGGTAGTTAATGAATCAAACAAGAGGCCCAAGGGCTTTGAACTATTCTTCTGATAAACTGTACAACCTATCACTTCTATTTGAAACCTCTAAGTATCCTGTATATTTAGATAAACCCTTGAAATTCCAACTCACACTCTGAGAACCCAAGATGATTCTAAGCCAATTAGTACCTGAGAGTTGGTCATGGTGACCTACTTATTACTTGTCATTCTCTGAGGACCCATCAACTAAGTTTGATGATTCTAGGCCAATTAATTTTTTTTTTTTAATTTTAACCATAAAATTTCAAAAGTAGGTCACCGTGACCTACTTTTCAGTTGTCATACTCCAAGGAATACTACACAAAAGGATCGAAATCATTCTTGTTACTGCAGTTTGAAAAATTCAGAAAACAACCGGTTCTTTTTTGTAAATGATTATATTTATTGTTCGACATACCAAGATGACTGCGTACAATGAAATTTTAATTATAGTCATATAAATTGAAAAAAAGGTCACGGTGACCTACTTTTCAGTTGATGTTTTTTGAGGACCCAAGATGCATCAACTTACAAAGTTTTATGATCATAGGCCTTAAAATGTCCAAATTATGCCTCTAAAATGCTTTGAAATCGAATGCCTGCAAAGTTCAAAAAGTAGGTCACTGTGACCTACTTTTTAATAAATATGTTTTATGGCTCCAAGATGCATCATCTTACAAAATGTAAAGATTCTAAACCTCTCCGTATTCGAATTAATGGCCTTAATTGTTTTGATAAAGATTAGCCATAAAATTCAAAAAGTAGGTCAAGGTGACCTATTTTTTAGTTGACGTACTCGAGGACCTAAGATACATCAACTGACAAAGTTTGATGATCATAGGCCTTAAATTGTTCAAAATATGCCTCCAATTCATTTTGAAAAAGAATGGCCACAAAATTTAAAAAGTAGGTCACCGTGACCTACTTTTGAGTCAACATGATATGAGGTCCTTAGATGCATCAACTGACAAGATTTGATGATCCTAGTCCTTATAGTAAGCAAAATATCAACATTTTAATAAAATGTAATTTTTGGTCAACTTTGAAGTGACCTTGAGACCAAGCCCTTTGCCCCAGGGTAAATCCCCGTGCAAATTTTAATCTACAACATATCCTCATCCTTTTGTGTAAGTTTGGTGATAATCTGCCCAGTGGTTCTTGAGAAGAAGTACTTTTGTTTCTATTTTCCTAATTATCTCCCCTTGTTTAAGGGTCACAACCCTAGTTTTAGTATAAATGGGAGCCCTTGGGCCAAGGATACCCTGTGACAAATTTGACAATAATTGGCCAAGGGGTTCTTGAGTTATGGCCCATATTCTAAGAAGTTTACGCACACCGCACAAATGGTCATAGCATTAGCTCTTTGAGCCTTTGGCTCAGAAGAGCTAATAAGACATCGTGTATTAAAGGTTTTTGTAAAACTGATAATATTTTATTGTTTGTAGTCCTCCGAGTTCATGCTGATGATGAATTCCATTGAAATAGCTTTCAAGGTTGTGTCATATTCTCCTTTTCTTACAACACATACTTTGCAATCTTTAAGAAATAAGAACACTCAAAGTCATATTCAGTATATAATATAAATTTACTGATTGATCCAGTCAAATAAATAACATAGGAATACTTATAAAGAAATGAGCATACTTGACATTTGTGTTAATCATGCACTGAAAAACAGTCATTTACAAAACATCATATTCAATACTAGAATATGTCCTACTTTTTTTTGTTATTACAATGGGAGAAGCTGAATTTCCAGTTCATAGGGGAAAAAATAAACAGTTGAAATCAGCAGACATGAAATCTTTTCATGAAGAATGATGACAGTGTATTTATTCTTGTCTAATGATCAAACGTTAATTATTATAATCAAGGCAGAGCATATGAATCAACTTTAATGTACATACATGTGTATTGTGTGAGAGAACATTTATTTCTTATGACACGGGACTAATCACAACCTAATCTTCAAAACATTCTGACCTTTACACTCAGAATTACAACTAATTCTCAAAATATAAGTATCAAAATCAAATAATGTTTGGTTAATGACCGAAATTGTTTACAAAAAATTATTTTCATAGGTGATTTATATATAACTATGCTATCAAAATCATAATCAAAAAGAATTATGCAGAATATTTCTCTATAATATTTGTATTTAAAACTATATAGAATTTAAAAATGAAAAACATTTTTATTATACATAACATACATAAATTGTTCTATTATTTATCACTAAACCAATTTATGACATTTAACATGTAAAACAGTATACAACCTTGTGATTGAGACAACCTAAAACATGACTAAAGGAGACACATAAACAGACAATCTACATGTGCCAAGAGCAACATACAGAATATCAACAAAATCTATAGTACATCTAGCTATCTTCTATCTTTTTCAGGGTAGTTTTACATTTTTTATTATAAACATGATGATTTTTTTTTAAATCATTTATAAGTTCCTACAAAAAAACCCAAACAAACCAAAAAAAAAAAACCAAACATAAAAAGATACAGGTTTTTTTGCCATGGTTTAACAACACACAATGTTACATTTGCTTTGAAACAGATGTACCTTATATAACAAAAGGAGATAACTCTTCCAATTTTCTTATGCATATCTATAATACAGATGGAAATTCAAGTACAGCTGATAAAAAAAAATTGCTCCATTTCTTTTTTGAATATTCATTCTCTATCTACTTGACAATATCCTTGTCATAGAATTATAGACTGTCCCAACATGAACACTTCCAGCTCATTTTTGAAGATAAGGGAATAAATTCTCATTTGTCTCAAAAGTAAATATTAACATACAAATTCTATCATTCAATTTTTAGACAGATTGGATACAAACAACTTGATTAAAATCATGTAAACATCTTTTTGCGATTCCTAAGTTTTTTAATCCATCTGCGACTACTAATTTACCGACTGAGGAAATATTCTAATTAACATAAATAATTGGTTTGCAGTGAGAAATATTCCCAAGTAAAAGAATATCACAAAATTTACAGATAATTCTTGCATGCAAATAAAAGTTGGTTTACAGAATGACATAATTTTTCAAAGTTTTACGGAGATTTAAAAGTTATCTTCGGCAAAATGTGTCAAGCCTACAAGGGAGTATTTGTTAATTCCATAGATCATCCAATGGTGAACCCAATATTTGGTATGTCATTAAGACACTGATGTCAATCAAAAGAAACCCACAAATAATAATAATTCCCTTGGAAAGTGGCAGCCATTTTTGTAATATAAAATCTCCACAGACTTTAAATTAACTACTCATTAACTGGGTTGTTAAACTAATTAAACAGGAGATATCACTGGTTTGAAAAAAAATTCTTCAATAATCAAACCTACTTTGAAAGCCAAGATATTCATGTATATTGAAATATAATGCAAAAACTAAATTGTTGAAATATTGTGGGACAGGCTATAACATTATTTTTTTTATGACAATCAATTAAATTGTCTAAAACAAATATGTTTTACAAAAGCTTAAAAACCACCGACCTGAAAAATATTAAAAAAGATATTTAAAAAGTCTCATTGACATATTAAAAAAAATATACTTACAGTCAAAGTTTTACAAATAAATATAAATTAAACACACACACACATACACACAAAAGTATGTTACACTAATAATGGTTTTGTTGCCATACATAATTAGCATAAATAATAAATAAAAATCTTTTATAGCATGGTTTCATTTTCTTTTCTTCATGGTGGGGGAAAATATTAATTTTCAGAGCAGTTTTTGTAAACATTTGACTATCTTAAAATTAATAAAACAAAATCACAGGGCTTTCTGGACTGGAAACAAACAACAAAACAAATTACAAACAATAAAAATAGGCCAACAATTATTAATACGTTTTACAACCTTGGAATTAATATATAACACTATAAACAAACATAATACCAGTAATTTTCTCACTAAAAAAGATAACCAGCATTTACCTACAAAATGTTTGTATATCATGGAATGTATAAACCTAAACTTTAGTAGTGATTTTTTAACAAATGGAATGTAAAGATGTTTTTGTTCAGATTTAACAGCATTTGATGTATTACACTTGTTCATTGAGAACTTGTCAATTAATATGTAAATACAAGTGACAAGTATTGAGCAGGCAAATTAAAATAACTATGGCAGTATATTTGAGCATCTCTATCAAACAAAAATTTTCAAAAGATCTGGGTTAATAAAATGTTCCTACAAATCTAAAATATTGAAGAAAAAAAAACACAATTCCAATGCCATTTAATAGCAATACTTGTTGAAGAAACATACCACTTTCAGCAAAGTCCACTCCATAGTCCCTCCTGGATCCCCCACTTAAAACTCTGAATCCCATCAATCACCTTTTTCTTTTTAATATCAAGTTTGACACAGTTGCTTAATGGCTATAGAATAAGTGCAATAATTCATATCTTCCATGAATATTAAATTTACCTAGTTGTAAATTTCAGAGCATGGAGTTGATTCTTTTTTATCTAAATTAAATGGACTTGATTTTTTTGACAAGATAACAAGAAGTCTGGAATACTCTCTCATGATATATCCACAATATCTGAAAAAATATAATTTTACTTAGAAACAAAGGACAAGAATTAAAATATTCAAACCTTTCTTTAAACCTACCAAAAACAGTCTGGGGATAATACATCAAGGAATGGACTCAGCGACAAGGAATGTACAAATGACAGTGTTTATCTGAAACTTGTAAGGTTTTCCTTTACATCAACAAAATAAGGACAACCAGTCTTCAAAGCATCACTAAATAACAACGGTAAAGTTCTATGAAACAAAACAATGGTGATTTTCATACAAGTCAAACAATGCCAAATATATATGAGCTGTTCACAACAAAAATTCAACTACAAAGTAAAAGTATGACGATGACTAGAGATGCAATCCAGTGTAGTAAAAGGCTCATTCTTGTCCATCAACTGCACAAGTGCCTTGTTTGTCAGGGGTCCAACAGAGGAGAAGGAATCTAAGCAGTAATCTACTGAAGAACAGAGAGAGGGACCTCCACCTCCTCCCTCTATGAAGATGGCTCCGGGAGTCCAGTTGTCGCCCCCTCCCGATGATACCGTATTGGATTGTGATGATACGATGGCTATAGAGCTGACTACAGGAGTCCTGTGGTCCCCCGATGATCCTGATGATACTGCGATGAAGTGTGGTTATGTCTTTCCAATGAGGATGACATCACAGAATGGTGCACTTTGACTTCCGAGCTTTTCTCCGTCGATGTTGTTTGGGGTCAAATGGCATTTGCCTAAGAAATCAGATAGATACAACACTCATATGCTTATCATATATACAACTTTATTTGATTTTTGGTAATTCAAAGCATTTAAAGTATGAAAAATTCATTATAGCTATGATATTTCTGTTCTTTTTTTAATGCTCAAGACCATATCATTGGCTTATCAAGAGTACAACTTGTTCTATATCTTTGTTGATATTTTTTTTCTGATATTTTTTTCTCATTCCAAGCATTCAGCATTTAGACCCTTTTTACAAAAGAAATTGAAAAGATATCTATGAATGAAACATCTCTTCCTACAAAACTTTTTTAAAATCAATGTTAGAAGAGTAGGAGTTGTCTATCCTGTTTACAATACTGTATAAGCAGAAATTTTAGCGAGGATTCAATTTTGGCATTTTTGGCGAGGGAGTTGAGTTTGCTAAAATTTAATATCACTAACAATTTATACCACATCAGAGTTTACTGTTATCTCTCTAGGCATCACAAAATCGCTAAAATTACTTCTCACTAAAATCAAACACCAATTATTTATGAAAAATCGCTAAATTTGTGTCTTGCTAAAAATTCCACTTATATGGTAATTGGATTACTGAACAGGTGAAATTGTACACTCCATTCAAAATTTGACACCCATGAGTTTAAAAAAAATGCTAAAAATATACTGTAGATGTATATTTTTCCATGATTGATTAACTTACACTATGTACAATGTCACAAATTTTCTGCGAAAATTTGCCATAGTGTACTTAAAATACATTTAAAGTCATACATTGGCAATCAAAAAAATCTGCATAATTTTCTACCTGCAGATTGAACAGAAATTGTCATTCCGTGGAGTTATGACTCAGTGGAAAAAAGTATGTTTACAGTATTTTCATCGAAAGAAACTTCACAACCAACCAACCTTATAACCCTGACAACTTCATGGAAGGCCAGGTCTACATTAATGGGTGGATCCTTGGCACTTGTTTCTATGTATGGTATCTACAAAATAAGAACAAACAATGAATACAGATTTTCCTTCATCTAGTGAACAAAATATCTTGTTGATCCCCTGTTACGGGTGATATATGTACATGTATAACCTTTTTCATTTTTTCTTTCAGATGAACCATATTTGAATAACAGTGTCAGAACTTTTTGAAACACAGCGGACACTGATCATATTTGAATTGATAGAATCTATTTAGACAATACAACATGCATGTAATTGCAACTATACAACATTTAGTTAGCATATACAAAGTTACAAACTGAAAGCATTAACAACTGAATCTGCCATATACAGTGTAACCTGTCTGATCCAACAGTCACTGGGACACTGTGTCAGATTAGACAGGGAGTCGGATTACACAGTGTAGAGAACATGGAAAATAGTAAAGTGGGAATGAAAACAAAGGTCGGAATTCACAGTAAAACGGATTACACAGGTGTCAGATTAGACAGTTTTTACTGTATATGTCATATACACTAACATTTAGCCTTGTAGCCAGATTCTTTCCGTCTTCCTCTGTGACCTTCCGTTGTTGTACGAGGTCCACTTTGTTGGCCACCAGAATCATGGGATAGGTGTCCCTATAAAACACAACAGTATATATACACTTATATGTATTATCTCTTTCGCTTTATTTAAGCACTGAATGATGATTTTTCCATCAGTTCTTGAATCACAATAGGTATACTTCTAAACTGGAAAACATTCATAAGCATGCATAATATACAAAAATTTTGATAATTTTTAATCCACCACATGTGATATTTCAAATGTTCAGTGCATTGCAAACAATCACTGCTTATACATATATTATTTACCATCTGTTTATACTCTCAACATGTTCAAACCTACATGTATTTCTGACACTTAGTGTTAAAAATTAAAGTAATTCTTCGTTTTCTTAGTACTCTTATTTTTTTTCAAATGATGTCAATTTAACACCGTGATCAAGTAAGTTCAATGCTGAGCTAGGTGACAATATTGTGTTGTATTAATTGACATATGAAATACAGATTTTTTTTAAATAGGGATTTATTATATCAGGAAAACAAATATGATATGGAAATTAGTATGTTTACGTAAATCATAACAAGTGTTATTGAATGTTGCATGTACACCTTGAGTTACAGTATTTCTGACATGGTGAAAAGCATAAATAAATTACCCCAAAAATTAAAGGTTTAACATCAAAACCTCTCAGAATTATAGTTCAGCTCTAGAAAGTTTCTGCATTATCAAACACAGCTGAGGATATGAGTTTTGAAATATTCCAACAGTATCTGATATAATAAATAAAAATATCCCCTGGTGATCTGATATGGGTACACATATTAAAAGTTGTTTTATTGTCAACACACGGCATGAATCCATAAAAAAAATATGTCATTATTAGATCTGAAAATATCAAAAGAGCACAATCTACATAAAATTGCAACTAGCAAAGCTGTAAATAGCAACAGAAATCAATAAAGTGAAAAATAATTTTATCATATATATAACAAATATACTGAAGCAAAATGTCATGTTTTTAAAAAAGAGCACTAAAATTATTATTGCATCTCTATTCTAGAAGAATAACTTCTCTAACATGTTTCTGAAATTCAAGACAGTATGATTGCAGAGGCTGTAAAATGTCATAATTAACCAATAATTATGCCTTTCATCACCCTTTTACCAGTTCTGACACCTACTAAGGAATCATTAAAATTTGTGGGGGCCAATTTTCATGGATTGCTTAAATTTTACAGCTGGTGGGGACGTAATTTCATGTATTCTCTTATACCTACAAAAGGAAATATGACTCTGTAACCAAAGTTCATTAATTCGTGGAGGATGTTAATTCGTGGATGAGAGGTACATGTACATGTATCCGTACATGTATTCTGTGAAAATTGAGCAATCACGAAATCTGATGATTCCAAAGTATATGTAATGCCTATATACAACAAATGTATGATAACCTCTTAAAAATAATATATCATCCAAACTGAAAATTCATTTGAATCTAGTAAACAATTTGTGTTTTGTTTTGTTTTTTTCCCGAACAGCAATGCCTTGACAAAAGCAAAAAAAAAATCGCAAGACATTATTCCTAGTAGAGACACAACTGTAACAAATCATTATTTTCTACTGTATATACTCAGTCTGGCAATCCCCCCCCCCCCCCACTTTGGTTCAATGAGCCTGGGATAACCATCAGCTAATAGTGAAACTTCATACAACAACTCTGCACTGGGTACATAAATGATATGATGAAAAATTTAAATTTCAATAGCAAGAAATTTGTTAAATCCTTTGCTACACTAGCTGTAGTAGTACATGCATCTACTAGAATGTCAATTAGAATTATTGAACAAATCTTTATAATTTATAGTCTTAAAACAAGGGAGGCAACCTCCATTATTGTCTGCTCAACAAAATTGTAAAACCTCCAAAATATTTCTCATATGGATATGAAAAAAGATTTCTGAATATAATGCACACAAGGCTGATCGAGACACAACTATATGAAGTGGCAATTTTACAAAATGTTGTAGTAGGAGAAGACTATAGTTCAAGAAAAATTGTCTAATCCTTTTGACTTTTTGTCAATAAGATATGTTCAGTTCAATTCATTGTGGTATCCTACATGTACATTGTATATACAATTTCTCAGACTACCTTCTATACAATTATTAGTTTGGCTGATATACGAAGGTGTCCTTAATTAGTAACTAAATAAATATACAAAACTTGTCCCCACAGTATTCAACTAAAATCAGAGCTGTTTTTACGTACAGTATTAAATATCATTACATTCAAGGTCTAATAAACCACCAGGATGAAATAAATCTCATTATTTCTCAATAAATCTTTAAGATGATTAAGATCCATTACACACAATTTTCTCAAGCATTGTAAACCCTCAGACATTTAAACCTCTTTTTAATTTGTCCAATGATAAATATATCCTTTAACAGAATCATTTAAATCTGACTACGAGTACGAGAGATATTTCATTAATAAAAAAGCATTGTCCACTTTATTTACTTCCCACAGAGCATTAAGATAGATTAAAATTTTCTACATACCTACAAACTTACATATATAAGGAATGCAGAATAAACAAAACAGAAATTTAAATGTAAATGTAAATTAGCAATATCAGACCCCCACCCACACATGCAATTTATGTACAGTGAAGTAATTTTCAAAAAGTCACATCTCAAGTCCTTTCTTAGTTTTCACTTTTTGTTAAATATTTACTTTTTTACATATGTATTTTTGAAATCTATGTTCATAATCATTTGTGCAATTATACTGACAAGAAAACTTTTAATTTACCACCCCCCCCCCCCCCCCTCCAAACCACTGAAACAATGAACCATAGTTTACACAAACTGAAACTTGTTACCATTTTTTTTTTCCGTATAATTCTAAAATACAAAGTTGTCCAAGATATTTAATGAAAATAAAAAGTTAACAATAATTTTGCATTGTTTATTAGTTTCTCGATCTGCATGAATTCAAATGTATTAATTAAAAATAACATTGTACTCCGTCCTAGTAAAATTCTAATTATTAGCTGGGTAAGCTTAAATATTCCATTCAACACAACTGGATGTGAATCCAACAATTCTTCCTCTTCCTTCTTCTTAGCAATATAAAAACTTATTACTAAAATGTTTAGAACAGGCAACTTCCTTTTTCAAAAGAATATTAAAGTACAGGAAGGCCTTCAGTTGATTTAAGTTTAAAAGGTTTTTTTTTGTTTCTTTGTTTTGTTTTAAATTTTACGAAGTCATTTGCTATATATAACCTGGTGGGATAACATGCCTTGGGCATATGTTATTAAAGCTAATTAAACAACAGCACTTGGCTATAAAAATCAACTTCCTATATTGTATGTGAGGTTTTTTCCTCATTACTTCTGATTATGTTTACAAAATTTTATCATATTACGGTAATTGCTTTTTGTATGTACATAAATTATGTGGCTTAATTATGTTCATACAGTGTGTTTACATGAGTTGCTTTTCTTGCACATGTTATAAACCAGTTTTACATTCACATAGTAATTACATGTACCTACATACACAAACGTTACCGTACATACCCTAATCCATAAGACCTATGTTTCTATTTGTGAAATATATACATAATTCTGTTGGCATTCTATAGCTTTGGTTATCAAAGAAAACAAATATAAGGATATAAAAGCACACAGAGAGGAAAGTATTTCATACGAGTTTTTAAATGAAATAGTTGGAATATACATGTGCCTTACCCTCAACACCAATACCAAGTGAATGATATTATAATAAAGAATTCTATCTTGTAATAAACTACCCCCCCCCCCCTTTCCCACCCACCCCCAACACCACCACCAAATGAATAATATCAATAAAGAATTCTGTCATGTAATATATACCTCCATACCCACCCCCAACACCAAGTGAATGACAATAATAAAGAATTCTGTCATGTAATGTACTACACCCCCTCCCCCATTCCCAACCACAGCCAACACCACTACCTAACAAATAATATCAATAATGAATTCTGTCATGTAATATACTAACAATATGCAACAAACTATTCCTTCCTTTTACAGCTGGTTATAGAAAAGGAAGGAGCTCATTTTCTGTAAAAATTTCTCAGTGACATTTAGTGGCAAAGTTATCTCCTCACCATCTGGGTAAAAATAAGGCTTATTAATATATCTTATGACAAGAGAGTACAAAATGACTGGCAAAAAATGCTGTAATGCATTTATTACTCCAGTACCATCAAGATAACATGGCCCTCTAGGTCAACAAGGAAAGCTGTAAAAACGTTTGTTCACTGTGACACATAGAACCAACTGCAATGAAATTCTGTAATTTTTTTTCTAATCTTTTTAACATATTTAAAATTTATGTGGTAAAAGAACATTATTAGCATAATCATGCAGGCAGAAAAATGCTGTCATAAAAACCTTTGAAAAGTTTTTCATTTATTTCTTTATTTTATTTTATTTTATTTTTTTTTTTATAAATCTTATTTAAATTGAACACAAAAAGCATTAAAAAATAAATATTCTTCTTATGAATACCAAAATCATATAGGCAGAAAACTGCTATCATTAAATGTCAAAAGGTATTTAAAAAATAATTCAATCCCACTCAATCTCCCATTACAAAACACAGGAAATACTTAAATTTGACCCTCAAACTTTGAGAAACTGGTTTCCTTTAAAACTCTTAGATTCTCTGCCACTTAATTCAGTGACAAGACTTAGAATTTCCCCCCTCTTTTTTTCCAACTTTTAATTTACGGAACAGATACAAGAGCAGGAAATGGTTTTATACAAAAGAAAAGAATTGAGAAGTGCTTCCTCCATTCTTAAGTAATGGTTTTTCTCTCAGAACAGATGATCTTGACCATAATAAATAATCTGTCACTGATAATTTCTTAACATTCAAACTGAAGGTTACCATTCCTAGACATAGGTGCTAAAACAGTTAACTTTTAACGACTCATTTTGTAACTCTAAAACAGCTGCCTATCCATGGAGGAAATATTAAAAATAAAACACGTCAGGTGATTTGGTCTTCAAAAAATGTTCACTATGGTTAAGCCACTTTTTTCTATTAGTTGTTTTTCAAGACCGATTGACCAAAATTTTTAAGATTTTGAAAAAAAACAAAAAATAAAATGTTGTTTTTTTTTTACTTATCATAAAAAAGACTTTTTATAGTATTTTTTTTTTTTAATAAACCTAATATTTCAAGGATTGTTAGCTTTTGGGATATCCTATATATATATAATTATATCAAAATAGTGTTTAAGATGTTCTAGACGTTTTTTTAATTTTGGGGGGAGAGGAGAAGATGAGATTAATTTTTTTTAAGAAATAAAAGTTTTTTGAAAAAAAAAAATCCTCCTTATCACATGTATCAAAATACTTATTCTCAACCTATTACATGTATTATCAAGACTATCAATAAAATTAGACTGACCACTCTTTTGTTAATAACTTTATTAGCCATAATCACATAAACATGTACTGTTACCATTACATGACTGTGCCTCATGATACATATAATATTTTGTGTGCTGATACCCTTTTATTGTGTCATCATCCATACTTTCTAAATATAATCAATATTAGTTATATTTCAGTAAATTCATATTCCCTAATTATACCACAAAATGGGATTGGACAGCAAGCCAGGCCATTGTGCTTCTTGTGTAAATGAATTGAATTTTTCAGTTATCGTCTGTACATTCACTAATGCATATTACTTCAAACTATAGAATGTTTAGTTTTTTCCTATAAAAAAAACCTTGTCTAAGCTACAGCAATATATCTTTGTGAGTTTCATATGACCTTGAACTTTGGCATTACCTGTCCTTGACGCGGAGGATCTGTGTGTGGAAATTTTGGATGTTATGAAAGCTGTGAGCATCCGTAACAGAGTACACCAGCAAGAATCCGTCCCCCTTTCTCATATACTGCTCCCTCATCGCACTGAATTCCTCCTGACCCGCAGTGTCCAACACTGAAAAAGTTATAAAAAAGTCTAGCACTCAAATACAAGTATACGTCAATAAGGGTAATACTACAAGTATGTCAAGCATTGAAAAACGTGTCAAGAAAAAGTCTAGAACTTGAATATAGATTAATAATTAATAATAAGATTATAGATAATATATTATATAAAGGAATTATTCAACATGTCCAAAAATGACACATGTAACAAACTCATGTTGAGCCATAAAAAAAACTGTAGGACATGTAGGAAAGGGATATCAAACTCATGTTGGGTAGCAAAATACATATGAGAAAAAAAAATAAAATAAACTAAACTTGCTAACTGCATGAAAAATATTACCAGAAATTGTAAATTTTAATATTATTATGTTGAATTAAAGTCTCATGTTTTGGAATTTATTAATACATGTATATATTTTTAAATGAATACGGGTGGAAGAAATGAAGTTTTATATATATGATTGATACACCTGCGGGGCTGTTCCAGGTATTATATGCACTGTATATGTTCAATTTATTTATCAGTTTGTCATGTTTTTTAGCCATGCATGATGGCGATATTGAAATGTGTGCCGTGCAGTCTGGTGCAGTACTGTGTCAAGAGAGAATAAGACTGCGTCATGGCTCACAAACTTAAATACTATGGAATTATAACATTTCTGGACTCACATTTATGACTTATGTATGTTTATATATCATATACAAAATAAGCCAAGCAGTTTTTCAATCCACAAATTATTACAAGGAAAAACAGGATAAGAGTTCTGAAAATAACCACACACTCCTGTGTCATTTAACCAGGATTTTACCGTACATAAAATAGTGCCATCAGGCATAAGGTTTAAATTGATTTACAGGATCTAAAGGTAAATAGATAAAGTCAACAACATTTAAACCACATAAAATGGCCTGCATAGCAAGTACCTGACAATCATACTCTGTCATCTGGGGATATGTGGGTATTTATTATTGTGAAGATACTAAGCTGCCAAACAAGATTTACTTTGTATTGTTCAGAATCTAGTTATGGAAATTGAATTATTTAAGTGTTCCTTTGTTTCCACATCTTCATGATGATTTGACTTTTTTTCTTCTTTTTTTTTTTTAATTTTGAACAGAAACACACAAGCCATTAATTAAACCAGATAAGTTTAACAGAAGAAAAAAAATGAAACCCCTTCCTTATTCATGGAACACATCAATTTTTTTCAAAAGAAACCTATTTGAAAATTACTATCTACAATATCAACAGGAATTATTTGCATAAAATGTCTATACATGTACAATCATGCATGTGTCTGTGGAAATAAATCATGATTACCGTTGTGTCATATTGACATTTTACATTTAAACTGAGATGAATTTCACCACATTCAAATCACATATATGTATCATTAAAAGTAGGAATAAAAAATAAATTTCTACCATCAAGTACACAGGGTTTGCCATCAATGTTTGTGTGCTGAATATAGGAGTCTTCAATTGTTGGATCGTAATCTTCCACGAAAAGTTTCTGGAAAAACTGGATTGTCAGGGCTGACTTCCCAACACCTCCATCTCCCACCACCACAAGTTTGTATGTTATTTCATTGTGGGACTTAGACATCCTTCTAGTTATTCCTCAAGATGTCCTTGATTATGTTTTACAATTCTATCTTTAAGATATCACTCAACAAAATTAAATAGAAACAGATAAAACATCAAAAATCCACAGTGGCATCAGATCGAAATAATTGACAATCCTTCTTAATCAGTTAATATTGAAATGTGTCTGATGTTTGGAGGAAATTCGAATTACCACACTGTAATGCCAACATCCATGAACGATGAAAGTAGGGATCTAAGAAGATTGAATTCAGAATTTCACATAGTCATTTTCACATATTAGTTATGCTTTTTAAAATATACACGAGTCATAAAATATCAAAATTATCTTCATGCGATTTCACAACCCGACCAATGAATCCAACAGCATTTCACAACACGTGTAAAAGAAGTCAGCAAATAAACTCTGGTATCTGTTTTTCGCGTCCCGAAAATCTTATCTTCTGTAGACAGTGTAGCCCGTAGGCCCTACAATAAGTTACGTCCGATTCCTCGAGAACTTTGATCCTCAAAATTCACTGCCATGACGTTCTTTAAACGCTAAAGTCGGTTGTGAAACGACAGTTTATTGGTTTATAAAGGAAGCCTTGTAAAACACGGAATGTGATTGGCTTTTATTTTAAGTTGTCTAATTTTAGAACCATGCAGTGTAAACAAACTTAAAATATGCAGGGTGGATCCAGGATATTTGACAGAAAGGATGTAGAGTTCGGTCGATCAGGATGAATCGATAAAAAATAACTCATCATCACACGAGAGTGAATATTTTGTGCTTTAAATAATTTCAGAACTGAGAGTAAATTAATACACTCAGGATAAAACACACATTTAGCCTTTTAGGCGTGGGTCAAGAAGTATTTAAAAGCGGACGGTTGAGGATTTTTGTTTGTTTGGCATAACAAATAGACCAGGCTTTGTTAGAAACATAAAAATAAATATTTCAAAAAACACTGGTTGTGTTAAGGAAATGACATTTAAGTCGTTCAAAATTCCGATTTACCCCAGGAGAATTAATGCATAATTTTTTTCAACACTTTCTTCAATATACTGGATAAATATTACATGTAGTTCTGTTTATCTCTTAATCATCCCTTCTAACTCTTTTTTTTTCTTTCTTCTATTTTTTGTCTTCTTTTACCTTCTTTTTTAAATTGCCAAAATCAAAAGGGGTGGGGGTTGCGACCCCCGTAAAACCCTCTCTAGATCTATATCCATCACTGTACACGTGTTACATTAAAAAAATTGAGTTGAATAAACGAATAGAGTAAAGAATTGAGTTGAATAAACGAATAGAGTACTTCAGCATTTGATTCCTCTCAAAAATAAATTACACGTATAAACATATAATTTTATTTTGAAAGTATGTACATATAGAAATATTTTCTTATCATATATATTTTCAAAGGCAGGTGCTCCTCCCTCCTCCCATCCCCACATCGATCCTCTTAATTTTATGGCTGCAATAGAATTTTGTATAAAATGAAGCATTTTCATGGAATTCAATTTGAAATCATGTCACAAGTAACCCCGATACCTATATTCAATTTGATATCATTTCAAAGTAGAGGCCAGGAAGATACTGAAAACCGTTTTCTGAGAGACTGTGGGCAATATTGATACGTTTCTTTTTTTTCAAATGGAAAAAACTCCAAAATCTATACATGCATGACTTTCTTCATTTTTCTTTGAAAATGATAGTTTAAAACATGTTTTTCGTTGAGTTTACCTAAAAATTATGTCCCGATACACCTTATTTTACCAAGCTATATTTGTAAAGGATCATTAAAAAAAACTCGCTTCTCAAATTTGAAAAATCTGTAGGCACCTTTCATTTACTAGATCTTGACCTTAAGCCATGGTCCGGAGTCCGTATATAGCTCTCTCTCCTGGAAGAGGATAGTACATTTTGGCCGTGGTTTGGGACGCCCCCTCCCCGGCCACTTTTTATTGCAGTATGATTGAGACCTTCCCGTTACTGTACGAATACAGGAGTGAGATTTGGGCTTCCCTTTCCCCGATTTCAGAATTTTGAGTAATTGCAAAACTCAGTTCCCGCTAACATTTGTTTGGCGGCGGTGGGGTGGGGCAAAGTTTCTTCAGGCTTTTTTTTGTTTGTTTGTTTGTTTGTCAATCATTTCGGTTGCTCAGTGTCTTTCTTTTAAAATAAAACGATACTTTACTCTTATACCCTAACTAATCTAGAGATCCATTTTAAAATCCAGACGCTACATGTAGATCTTTATATGTACATCTTCTTTTTTCAAAAGTTATGGTTAATTAAAATTAAAGCACAGACTCAAGACAACTCCATATTAAACCATTCTAGGGAATATTTCTTGGAAAAAAATTAAATTATATTTAAATAAAACATGTATCTGTTTAAAATAGACAAAATAAATCAATTAATACATCGCAACAGAAGGGAAATATTTACAGAAAGTGATTTTTTTCTCTTAAGGTCTGACGACACGTTCACTGTAGGAAAGCCGATGACCGTAATATAGTTTACGGTCATCAAAACATGTCGGCTGAGATGATCGGTTGAAAATTTTCGACGGCGATTATAAACATTATTCAATAAAACTGAATAATTTAAGGTAATGGTTAAACGAACATCGATGTTATCTCCACACCAGTAGTTGTTGTTTACCCAAACAAAAGAAAATGAAATGATAAAAGGCATTCGAAATTTTGCAGTATGATGACCGTAACAAACACATTCCAGCGAGAAGATGATGACCGTAAAACAATTATATAGATGACCGTAATCTTTGTACAAAATCATGTTACATGTTTTATTTCTTATTTAACATCAATTCTACATGTTCTATAACACCCCTGTAAACAACTCTGATGCGATCGGCAACACTGATAAAATCATTGAAGAAGAAAGTATCGTAGGGAGTATGTTAAAGCAGTTTTGTATGTGCTGGAGTATAACCAGCTGTAAATAATGCTAGTAAATTTGTAAAATAATTTCTGTGCAAATGTTACGGATCAAATCGACAATGGTCCCAACATCGAATTTCCATGGTTTGAGATAGTTTAGATTATTATCATCTATCGACATTGAAGGTCATTCTTAGAGGTATGAACAAAACATTTTAAAATTAAAACTGTATACATTATCATCAAAACAACTTTTAATTGGAAATTTTGAAAACTGCGAGGCGGTCGTCAACGACATGTATCGTTTATTAAGCGATCGTATAACTGGGAAATAGCGATCGTAAATTAAACGCATGAAAAAAAAAATAGCACAAATCAGAGTAAATTCTGTTTAGGAAGTGTTATTTCGATGTATAATATATAGCTAAATTCAAATAAGGCAATCGGTCATTGTGATATATCGTTTTTAACCATTAAAATTGACCTACATAAATATCAGAAATTAAACTTAACTATGTTAATCAAGGAGATACTACGGAAAACGAACTGGAGGGCTCGCAAAATTTTACCTAAAATTATTGCAGTTATAATATCTCATATAATATATTTCAACAGAATAGAATTTATTTGCAGGCACGTAGTATCGTTTTTTTTTTAAAAAAAAAAAAAAAGGGGGGGGGATAAAAATGTAAAATTACCTTAGAAAGTTTGACAAGCAAAATAAAAAAGGAAAATTGTCCAAATTCGAAAAATCCTATATTGAATGTGTGTGTTGGGGGGGGGGGGATTGTTTCAACTTCTTTCACAATCAAATTTTATTCACAAAGTACCGAAGTATCATTATACGCCTGTCTTTAGACGGGACGTATTATGTTATGGCGTTCATGTCCGTCTGTCTGTCCGTCTGTCTGTCTGTTAGCTTTTCTCGTGTCCGGCTCATAACTTTAATACTATTAGGCCTAGGATTATCAAACTATGTTAGCTGATACTTCTTGGGTAGACGGTGTGTCGCGCACAAAAAGTAGGTCGTTCTGACCTTTAATTAAGATGCTATGGCCAAATATGGAAAAATCCTGTCCGGCTCATAACTAGAAAACTATAAGACTTAGAATCATCAAACTTGGCCAGTTTATGCATCTTAGGTAGAAGGTGTGTCGCGACCTATTTCAAGGTCACTGTGACCTTTAATTTAAGTGAAATTTAAAAAAAAAACTCTCTTTTTACTATTATATCACACAATCCCAAAAAATGTAAATTGTTGCAGTATCCTTATTAAAAAATGTTAAAATCAAGAAAATACTTATTTTTTTCATTATATACTTTACAGCAATCTATAACAAATATAATGTTACAAGAGAAATTCCACCTCTCCCATGGGTGTAATTATCAAGCACTGGTCAAGGAGAATTTTGATAACAGAAAATTGCATGTCAAATTAGAGAGAAATTAATGAGTTTAGTGTGAGGAGCTAACTGGTAGAGCATCTCTGATCAAGCAGGTGTTATCTATATCTCTTGGGAATTGGGCAGAGGAATCAGCCATGTTGGATTACATAGTTTTTGTCGGCTAGCCTAACTTTTAAAATGAATTTGGTGAAAAGTAATTAAAACTAATTTGTTATCGTATTTTATGTATTATAAACTAATTTGATCTCTTATATTAAACTAATTAATTAAAACTAATTATACTCGGAAGGGGGGTGATATTGGAATTAGCATGCCGGTTCTCCATATGAATTGCAGCTTAAAACCAGTCTGACATTGAGTCTAAAAAAAAAAAATCAAGTATTTCAAAAAAAAAGTTTTAATTATGGTAGATCGTCCCTACAAATCTAAGAGTCAAGCAGAAACCTTATTAAAAATGTTGCATCAAGATTACATTTTTTTTCTTTTTATAAATCTTTGTAACAAATTGAAAAAAAAAATCTTTGTTTTCAAATTTAATTTCAGTATGACATAAATATGCATTTTAATTGCACTACAAAGCAGATAGCGCAGATCCATTCATCCTTTGGGAGTAATGAGTGGACATGCATCCAGTTAAAGATTAATTAATGAGTTCAGTGTAGGAAGGCTAGCTGTCTCAATCATTTCTGTTAGAGCATATCTGATCAAGCAGTTCTTATCTGTATTCTTTGGGAATTAAACAGAAGAACTGCTGGTCAGTTTATAGCATATTTCATTTGATGGCCAGTCTTTTATTTTAAAATTAATTTGGTATAGATTAAGTTGTTAAGACTAAATTCATATTGAATAATATGATATTTTTATTTAATTTTTTGAAAATATCAACTAACAAATTTCAGAGCATCATGTCTCACAAATATGAAAGGGGGGGGGGGCTGCAGATGGGCATTTGTCAAGCTCTAACACAACCAGTTGAGGATCTATAATGTAATATTTGTTATAATTCATGCCTACACCACAGGAAATGTATAAACAAATATTATAAGGAATGGAAAAATCATGGAAATCCGTGTATCAAGGTTGACTTGATTTTCTTGCACTCTAAAATGTTTGTGATAATTGAACAATATTTGACGGGCGTATCATGCTGTGGCGGGGCACTTTATTTTTTAACTATACTGCAAAAAAAAAGGGGGGGGGGTACCAACCTTTCAATGGACAATTCAACTGTTACAGTAAAAAGTTTGTTTAAAAAAAGTGGAAGGAAGCAGCCTCACTACCCCCCCCCCCGTCACATTTTGTGATATCCCGATGAGTTGTACAACTTAGAGGCAATAAAGATTTGAATTGAGTTTTATAGAGTAAGCTATCATTAATTGAACCATAGGAGTTGGAATATGGCCTTTCTGACATATTTTATTTCTTAAATAAAATTTGTAACATGACGACTTTTGTAAGAAAGCAATAAAATATGTCAAAATGGATACATACCTATCATTTCCCCGAAATTTTCCGTATCCCGTAAATAAAAAATATAAATACTATAATAATAAAACTTTTCAGTAAAATGATAACACTTGTAATTTTAGTTTTATTGATAGGTATCCCAACTCCTGTAATTGTTATTTTTATAGTATAGTGTTTTTTTTTTATTTATTTACTGAAAATCTCGGTAAAAATTTATAGGTATGCTGACTCCTGTGATTGAACAGCCATTCCATAGACAATAAAACCTGTTTTTCTATATTCCTAAAATTCGGTCCTTCCAATACTTTTTGTTAGTATCGGATTTATTTTAATCGAGTGCCAATAGACAATTAAGTTCTGGATTTTTGATTTTGCTGTCTTAAAATGTGGACATTATCCAAGCAGAAGATTAGAAAATCTGTCACCCCCCCCCCTTCTTAAAAATCAAATGCTCGGTGTCCTGTTCTGTTTCAGTCCATGTAAATCGGTAATCTCTTATTATATTTCATTAAACTGTTAAGGGTATTTAGTGAATTTCAAATTGCACAATCGCATGTTTATTATATTTTCTTACATGTAGTTGTATGATCGCACACAGAATCGTTGCCGATCGTAAAAACGTTTGGCACGTGTACACTTCAAATCTTTATTTTGACGCTTTCTGTTTGATATTACGGTCATCATAAATTTACGGTCATCCCACTTCACTGAATAAACCTCGATTACGGTCATCTTAATATTTTGTTACGGTCATCATTCTCAGAAACTTTGAGGTCGTGCTACAGCTTTATTTTCTTAAGTTCAAGTAAGCTATAATAACCAATAGCAAGTTTTCATTAGCGTACATTCAATTTTCAGCGGAATTTACACAGATATGCTAACAAATGTTTGATATCTTGAATGAAAAATTCTTACCGATCAGCTCGGCCGACATGTTTTGATGACCGTAAACTATATTACGGTCATCGGCTTTCCTACAGTGACGTTGCTTGAATATCTGTTTTGTATCTCTCCGTAATATACAACATAATCATCATCAACTTGTGGTTTTTAAAACTGTTTTCAAAATGTTTAAGTAGATAAAGACAAACACACACACACACACACACACCCTCACACGTGATATTGGCAGTGGTAGTGATTTCCAATAGGGTAATATAGTATAAATAGCATCCTCTGATATCTTGCATAAATGCCTGGTAAGGTACCATTACTTTTTTTACGAGGAAACCTGTTAAAATAGCAATACTTCAATGACAAATTCTCAGAAAAAATCATATATCATTGAGCAACGTGTCGTCTGACCTTAACTTACACACGTATTATCAAAAAGGAACTATTCCCTCTAAACTAAATAAATCCCTTTACAAGTCAACTTTATATCACAACCACAAATCATGATGTAATTAAACGTACATAGTAGTCTAAATCTTACTAAATAACCAAAATTTCTCAGGCAGGTAGCATAAATTTTGGAAGTGGAAACAAGTCGGAAATATGATTGACAAATGACCTGAAAACTTTGACAAGCTTTGATTGTGTGTTTTAATTGTGTCATGAAAGGGTCTGACATATTTAGTATTAATAGGATCAGGGATCAACTATAGGGACGGATCCAGGTTTTCCAGTGTTTTTGAAGGGGGTACAGGATAGTAATCCCCCCAAAGGGGTTTCATATTAGTGGAGGATATTTTGAGCCAGAGATAATCTTTTTACCTCTATTTTTTTTAAAAGGATGTCCGCTCCTCAGCCAGGAAGGATGACTCTTAAATTTATTTTTAAAAGCCTCAAAATGAAGCCTGAAATTGAAATCTTTTCGTGCAACGTACAATTTTCATTTGATGCATCTCAGTATGATTCAAGGTTCTTTGACGTCTTAGAAATGGACTTGTAAAAAGTTTTCATTTGTACCCCGTAAAAGAAATAAATGAATTCAATTCTAGAGAAATTGAATTTCCTTTAATCTTGCATTAGACACCAATGCTTATTAGCATGATATGAAATTAGATGTGATATGTGATGTCTATAGCAATGATAACGCATCATTTTTTAACACAATGTAATATATAATGTAACAGGGGTTTGTGTAAATAAACAAGCACGCCTCTGTCAGGTTCAGGTCTATTTTATTGACACAGTGAGCAGTATATATTAACATAGCCCTGAAATATAATAAAACAACAATATTATATCACATCAAATCAATCCTATTAATGCATCATTTATACATACATCTAGCTCTCATAGATAACATATTGATAATGATATATTATAGACAAGATGTATCTTTATATGTACATTGACTCTCAATTAAGGGAGATAACTCTTACAACTGATACATAGACTTTACATATTTTCTCCCATATAAAGGCATAAAAAATATTACTAATTAAAACAAATAGTTCCTCACCATTCTGTGGGAAAAGGCTTTAATTACCACATGTATGTATGATGTCATAAACATGTATATGGATTCTGTAATTTAATACAGTATACATTAAAATATATATATTCCATTAAAATAAAAAAAATCATCTGTTCACTTTGAACAAAGTAACCAAATATCTTGGTCATAAAATATATAGTGTAATTTGAACATAACAATTTACACTTTCAATATATAACATTACTGATCTTCAAAATCAATAATTCCAATCATAAAAATAAATATCTTTCTCTCATGGTCATTCATTCTATTAATATAAAGTGTAGAAGGGATTTATTATAATTGCATATTTACAGACTGCACAAGTTAATTTAGATAGAACGTTCTATCGTTAAAATGATATTGTCCTACGGACCCGGTTTAACGATAGAATTCGTTCCGTGTATTGGCAATGTAGCAAAATAAACACGGGCGATAACTCGTACTCTGTGCATCTTCTATAAACAATCTAGAGAGTTCCGAATGTCAATATGGCGTTAAATTTGAAGTGAGGAAAAAACGTTGAGAAAATGAGTTGATTTTTCGTATTTATATGGATTATTTTTTAGGTTAAAAGACATATACCATCTCAAAAAGGTTTGTTATGATTAATTTGGTAGTTATTTTCAGTGCAACTCCTTTTGAATTCTTCAAAATCATTTCGGAGTGGATCCACTCCGATTTGCTACATTGCAAGTATATGGGACGTATTCTAACTGGTGAGGGCTTGTCCCGAGACACAGTTAGATTATTCTAACTAGTACTACCTTAACTGCATTGATACCCTGTACATGGATTACAAATATTTTGAGGCACATAGACGAAGCTTGACATATTTTGAGAGAGTACCATTGGCACTCGCCCTCCCCAAAATACACTACATGTAGAAAATTGAGGTGCAGTGTATTTTTTTTCTTACCATTTTTCCGGATTCGAGGGCCGTTTTTAGTCAAATTCTATGAAGTCCATTACCGGAAGTTATGAAACTCATGCAGGTTTGTTTCCTTTCCTCACAAATCTTCAACTAGCTCAATTTGCATTTGCGTTAGGACTGTGAAGCTCAAACTGATGCCATCAGTTGTGAAAGGTAAAACAGAGAGAGAATATGCTGGGACTTGAAGGTCTCTTCGCAGAAGATGGAGAGCAGTTCGAGTCGGCTCTTCATCAGTCCAAGCCCGGATTGCCTCAGCCACCATCAAAACGAGCGAAATGTGGATTGTGTGGCATCAGCAATCAAGGCGCCACGTGCTACCTGAATTCTCTGCTACAGACACTATTTTTTACAACCGAGTTCAGAGGTACTTGTCTCGGAAATGTTCATACACCATCTAAATATTTAGTAATACCGGTACTGGTTTCAATATTTCATGGAGAGAAATAAGTATTTTCAACCTGAGCAAAAATATTTAAAAACAATATATTAATGGGTAGAAATTACTTTACCGGTCCCCATATCTGCAAGATCCGCACGCTCATTGCATTATGATGTATGATTTTTGTCACTCAACTGATAGGGTTAGTCTTGCATATTTTCGACTGGTTAGGGTTAGATTTGCACCCACCTGAGAGATTAGGGTTAGTCCTTGCACAAGTATTAGACTGATTAGGGTTAGTATCGCATCCATCTGAGAGATTAGGGTTAGTCCTCGCACATTATTTAACTGATTAGGGTTAGTCTTAGCATCTACCCAGAATATTAGGGTTAGTCCTCGCATACCATCCGAGAGATTAGGGTTAGTGACTCGCTCTTTTAGATTAATTAAGAAATTCAGTTGCTTCTGTATTTTTTCTAGATCTTAATTCAGCTTCATTGGCATTTCGTTGGTTTGTTTACATGAAAAAATGGCTAAGTATGAAAGAAATGACACTAAGCATGCACCGCACACGCTTCGTTGACAATTATTTTTTTGTTGATTTTTCAATGAATAAACAATATTCATTAATTTTTATCAGAGAACGCGGTTTAAAACTTCATTTAAAAACAAAGTTTTAAACTAAACTTTTAACCGTAGAATTCGATTTTGGGGTCAAAAAGGCCAAAAACCTCATACTTTTTATTTTTTTTGATCGCTCACGCGATTTTCTATATACTGAAGTCACCTACGACGACACTATAGTTTAGCGCGATTTTCTGGGGACTGGTAAAGTCGTTCCCATCCTGAATAATAAAAAAGGAAAAGTAACTAATTTAATCTGGATAGAAATCTGACTTTACTTTTTTCTTCAAGCTGTTAAAAATCAAACCCACTTTTTCATCCAAAAAGCATTCATTAAATATTTATTATATTAATTAATCATTAAGAATTTCGTATGTTCACAGTGTTATCAAATTTTCAGTTGACAGATTTGATAAACAAAGACTTAAGAGGGATACAATTTGATAGGCACAGAACTTTGGATCAGCCAATGAAAAAGTGGGCTATGTTCTAAGTAAGATGATATTAAGTAAAATTCTAGTGATCAAGAAGGGGGCTCAGGCGCTTCGCTCTCTCTTCCCCTTCTTAATCTCTAAAATTTTACTTGATATGATCTAACTATTTCTTAAAATTCTCTACAGTAAACTTGTTTAGTATGACCATGGATACAGTGAATTGATGGATATAGTGAAGTTTTTTGCAATATATTGAACTTGGATAAGTGAATATATGGTTTTAGCAAACTGATTTTGTGTTCATTAGAAGTTAAAAATAATGAAATTTATTTTTTTGTAAAGAATTTTCAAAGATCTAATTTTTTTGTTCAAATTGAACTGACATAATTTTGTGAGTATTTATTTTTGAAACTCAAATCTTTTAAAAACCTTTGAACTCCAAAGTAAATTTTGTATTTTATACTTCCCTAAATACATTTGGTAGACACACTTGAAGGAAAAAAAACTATATTATGAATTCACTATTTATAAGGAAATTGTTATACAGGTACAACAAATTACGGAATTAGCAAAGTAAATTTGCATGTCCCCAGAACTTTGCTATAACTAGTTTTACTGATTATCTTAGTATCTCTCTTAAATCAAACTATTATTCCAGATGCCCTGTTTAGTCTTGGTGAGGAGGAGTTGGGTAGTCTTGCCAAGAGAAGTTCAGGCGAAAAGGTAAATTTCAATAAAGTTTGCAACAGGAAGGAGATTTTAATTTACTCCACTCAGAGTTACTTGGGTGTTTTTAACCCTCAAGTATTGATAGAAAACTTGAATATATTTTTCTGTGTAGTTTGATCAGAGTTTGATGAACATCATTAACAATCTCATCCAAAGGACTTTGAACAAGAAGACAGACTTTTCAAATATACAGTTGAACTTCAGTATCTCGAACATGGATATCTCTAATACCATGGATATGCCAAAGTGATTTTGAAGTCCCAAGTGCTTATTTTTTAGATATTTTACCCTGGATATCTCGATCCTTGGATATCTTGAAGTAATTTATTGGTCTCGTGAAGTTTGAGATAACGAGGTTTGACTGTATATCTAAATGATTATAAAATTTTAAACCATGAAAGAAATGTGTAAGTAAAGTCATAAATGCTTGTGAAATAAAAAGGTTGTCTATGGAACAAGTTATTCTTAAATTCATTGTATTTTATGTTTCTTTAAAGTATATATATCAGATTAATTCTTTCTTATCTGCTTACCTCCTAAGCTGAACATTTTGATGACTACTTTGTTGTCAGGTACGGGTGATACCTCTACATCTGCAGAAGTTATTTGCTCGGCTCCTGATGTCAGATAGACAGAGTGTGTCCACGATAGAACTGACCGATAGCTTTGGCTGGACCAATAATGAGGTAATTTAACAGACAGACTGTGTCCACTATAGAACTGACTGACAGCTTTGGCTGGACAAATAATGAGGTAATTTAACAGACAGACAATGTCCACTATAGAACTGACTGACAGCTTTGGCTGGACCAATAGTGAGGTAATTTAACAGTCATACAATGTCCACTATAGAACTTACTGTTAGTTTTGGTTGGACCAATAATGAGGTAATTTAACAGACAGAGTGTGTCCACTGTAGAACTGGGCCATAGCTTTGGCTGGACCAATAATGAGGTAATTTAACAGAGTGTGTCCACAGTAGAACTGACTGATAGCTTTGGCTGGACCAATAATGAGGTAATTTAACAGACAGACAATGTCCACGATAGAACTGACTGATACATGTAGTTTTGTCTGGACCAATAATGAGGTAATTTAACAGACAGACTGTGTCCACTATAGAACTGGGCGATAGCTTTGGCTGGACTAATAGTGATGTAAAGAAATGAATAGAGGAGTGAATGTTAGGGCATATTTATCAAGGGTTATCAATAAGTGGTGCATACTTATGAGATTGTTGTGGAAAGGGAGATAACTTGTGGTTGTATTTTTATCTGTAACTTAATTTGCTGTGACACTATTATTTGAATTTCATAGTCTAACTTCGGTAAACTTGAAGATATTTGACAGATGAGAGTCATAATTATTTGATTTGGTGTCAAATTAAATTTTATTCCTTATTAATTTGCCCTTTCTCTTTTGTTTATACAGTGTATTATATATCTCAAACATCGACTTGGTTTTAAATTTCTAATAGAGTTTTATGGATAAAGACAAAAATTCTGCAATTTCAGGAACTTCAGCAGCATGATGTTCAGGAGCTGAACCGGATTCTTTTCAGTGCAATAGAGGACTCTCTGGTAGGGACCTCAGGGAAACACCTCATAAAACAACTGTATCACGGAGCAATAGTCAATCAGGTACATAGAGGTTAAAATCTGTCACCTCATAAAACAACTGTATCATGGAGCAATAGTCAATCAGGTACACACAGGTTAAAATCTGTCACCTCATAAAACAACTGTATCATGGAGCAATAGTCAATCAGGTACACACAGGTTAAAATCTGTCACCTCATAAAACAGCTGTATCATGGAGCAAGAGTCAATCAGGTACATACAGGTTAAAATCTGTCATCTCATAAAACAGCTGTATCACGGAGCAATAGTCAATCACGTACACACAGGTTAAAATCTGTCACCTCTTGAAACAGCTGTTTCATGGAGCAATAGTCAGTCAGGTACACACAGGTTAACATCTGTCACCTCATAAAACAGCTGTATCATGGAGCAATAGTCAATCAGGTACATAAAGGTTAAAATCTGTCACCTCATAAAACAGCTGTATCACGGAGCAATAGTCAATCAGGTACACACAGGTTAAAATCTGTCACCTCTTGAAACAGCTGTATCACGGCGCAAACTGTCACCTCATAAAACAACTGTATCATGGAGCAATCTGTCAGCTCATAAAACAGCTGTATCATGGAGCAATAGTCAGTCAGGTACATACAGGTTAAAATCTGTCACCTCATAAAACAGCTGTATCACGGAGCAATAGTCAGTCAGGTACATACAGGTTAAAATCTGTCACCTCATAAAACAGCTGTATCACGGAGCAATAGTCAGTCAGGTACATACAGGTTAAAATCTGTCACCTCATAAAACAGCTGTATCACGGAGCAATAATCAGTCAGGTACACACGGGTTAACATCTGTCACCTCTTGAAACAGCTGTATCATGGAGCAATAGTCAGTCAGGTACACACAGGTTAAAATCTGTCACCTCATAAAACAGCTGTATCACGGAGCAATAATCAGTCAGGTACACACGGGTTAACATCTGTCACCTCTTGAAACAGCTGTATCATGGAGCAATAGTCAGTCAGGTACACACAGGTTAACATCTGTCACCTCATAAAACAGCTGTATCACGGAGCAATAGTCAGTCAGGTACACACAGGTTAACATCTGTCACCTCATAAAACAACTGTATCATGGAGCAATAGTCAGTCAGGTACACACAGGTTAACATCTGTCACCTCATAAAACAGCTGTATCACAGAGCAATAGTCAGTCAGGTACACACAGGTTAACATCTGTCTCCTCATAAAACAGCTGTATCACGGAACAATCTGTCGGCTCATAAAACAGCTGTATCATGGAGCAATATTCATTCAGGTTCATAAAGTCAAGGCCTCATTATTTCAAACTCAGAGGGGCTGAGAAAAAAATTGAGTTATTCAAGGATTCAAAATATTGAGGTTAAAATACATGTACATGTATATCAAGAAAAAGTATTGGGACTTCCATTACACTTTGAAAAATTCATGGTATGAGAGATTTTAATGTTCAAAACACTGAATTTCAACTTTATATGTCCAAATCAGGATTAAAGCCTTTTTTAAAACTGACAATTGGAAACTAGATACATGTACATATAAAACTGTTTTGTTCAGAAAATATTGTAAGAAATGTATTATATAAAGAGATACAGTACATGTACTGGTAGTGTAATGGATTTAAAACAACATAATCCTTCATTTTTCAGATTGTTTGTTCAGTTTGTGGGAAAATTAGTGAAAGAGAGGTAAAAATTTACTTGTGACCTATTTCTTGACCTTCTTTCATGTAATTTCCTACTTTAAAAAACTAAACCAGGAAATTGAAAACTTAAACATGAAGTAGAATGAAATATACATAACTTGAATTCACAAATTAATCGTTTAATTATTTTAATCTTTGTACACTGAATAAGAGAGATGTGCTATATTTTAGAGTTCAGACTGCAAAATTTTTAAAAAAAAATTATTTCTATTAAAACCAAGTTACGGTAATGTAAATCCTAGGTAAACAGAGATGGAACAGACACTGTTACTGTTAGTAGTTTATCGTTAGATTGATTAGGTTAATTGTGAATTGTGTTGAAACAGGAGGATTTTTTGGACCTGAGTATATCTGTGAGTGGGACTGAGTCTCTGGAAGCAGGCTTACGGAGTTATTATTGTGAAACTGAGACCATGGAGGGGAAAAATCAGTACCGATGTGAAAATTGTAATAAACTGGTGGACGCCAAAAAGGTATGCACTGGTGTTTATCATAGTATGATTAAATTTTTCACCTCTAAGCCTTAATCACATGATACACATATTTACATTTAGGTTTAATACGTATGGAAATCCATGGTATTTATCTTCAGTCGAGATGGTAACTGAGTTACCTGTACATGGAGTATCTTGTTTGCTCCAATACAATTGAAGTGTGCATTTTTACTGCCGAATAGAAATAAAGCTGTAGCATTTTTTTCACAAAAATCTTACAACTATAAAGATAAAAATTATACAGTTCTATAATTTTCTTGTTGTATAAAGATACTTTTTTTCTTTAATAGATTCAAATTAAATAGAATATAAACATTTTTTTGTCCTATTTTAGGTTTATTAGATTCATGTCAGAGAATTGTAGAATTTTGTCTTAGTTGTAAGATACATTATACTTTGTGTAAAGATCCACTGTTTTTGTTTGTATACAGGGAGCCAAGCTTCGCTCACTTCCACAGATTCTGACTTTCTCACTGCTGAGGTTTAGTTTTGATTTGATCAAAATGGACAGATACAAGGTAAAATTGATGTCTTCTTTTGTCTTCTTTAAGATTACAGAACAATATTTCAAGTTAAATACATGTATTTCAAACAAAATGTGTCTCCTTTTGAATATTGACTGATGGATATGCGCATGCAAGCAAATTTATTTGAAAATAAAGAATAATGTAATTTAACTAGGGATGTCAAAATATTTATTTTTCTTAGTCGATTATTCGATTGCATTATTCGAACGATAGTCGAATATTCGGAACATTTTCTGAAAATAAAATTTTATTTCAAACTTCACTGGTACATGACGCATTTATAACTCAAAAACCCTTAATCTATTTAAAAAGTAACAAAAAAAAATTAATGCAGCGTAACGTTGGATAGCAAGATTATATGAAATAAATTTAGAAATCTAATATTCCCAAATTCATGATTTCCCCATCAATCGAATTCATAAATTGGTCTGTACATGCACTTAGTTTTTATTTTAGTTAGCATTCAAAATTTGCTAGTCGATATTTTTTTTAAAGCTTATTGTGAAATAAATTGGGGGGGGGGGGGTAATCTCACACTATCCAAACGCCAGGTGGCTGTTAAATTGATAAGCAGTTAGTTACTGTTTATTCATTTATTGATTGTTCTGGCTATCAAAATGTCCTTAATTATGAACAATTTAAAATGCAAGCAAATTGTTCTAATAATTATCGAAGCGTCAAAACATGTCACATGTTCCTCTCATTTGAGCAATCTTAAAATAAAAGATAATTGGTACATCGTATAAAATCAAGTCCAATTAATTATTTTACAAACAAAGCCCAGATATATATTGATGGTTGATTTATTACAAAAACAACACAAGCAGTAACTGGTAGATAATTAATTCTCGCGGTAGCGAAGCATTTATAATTACTGTACTTTCTATACGCACATGGAAAATCAAGTTTTTTTGGTAGAGGAAAATTATCTTATCAACTGTCTCCGAGGAAAGACGGTTTCTCAATTTTGAAATGAGAATTCCATATCGTTATCATTCTTTTATTGCATTTTTTTAAAATTATAATATTCGAATGTCGTTTCATTATTCGATCGTCGGTCCATTCGACTGACAGTCGAATAGTCTACTATTCGTTGACATCCCTAAATTTAACTGTGTAGAACATGTTGAACAAGATTGCAAATTTCCATACAATTCTGTAAGAGAACATGTATTTTGTAGGAGACAGGAAAATTTGTCTTTCCGACACAACTAGATATGTCTCCTTATGAAGAAAAGGTAAATCTGACTGTACAAATACTGTACATTCATGTCATGCATGTAACATGTGTAAGTCCAACAGTGAACCATAGTTTAAAGAAAGTAATTTTCAAGTAAAATAAGTGCAAATCCTCCAAAAACTAACAAATTGATCTGCTTGTGAAGTGTTTCTTGTAAGGTTTTATATATGGATTTTCATCAATGTCATCATCTTTTAGGTTGTTGTGAATGTTATTTCTTTTTGGATAATTTGGACCTTTATATCTATAATGGTCTGACAGCTCTTGAGTCTCTCTTGGTTATTATACAAAAAGTGATCATTTTTACAGTCGGAAGGTGCAGATCTATATGAATTATTCTCGGTGGTTGTGCATAAAGGAGGGGCCCACGGGGGACATTACACGGCCTACTTACGGGACGTTGACAATCTTGGGGTGTGGTCAGCCCCAGAAGAAGGCAGCATTTCCGTCCTTGGGAGCCCTGAGTCGGGGCAACTCGATGTGATTGAGTGTGACTCCCCAATTGAACTTGTTCAGACCATCCTTAGTCAAGCTCCTGACAAATGTTTGAGTGTTGACAAGCTAGGAGGGGTAAGAGTTTAAAGATGCAGATTTATTGTGTAGTAGAAGATTTGTATTTTGCAGTTTGATAAATAATTTTCCTTTTTTTATCTTTCATTTGTGCTTAAATTTAGGAAATAACAAAGAAAACTGGAGTTTCATGGAATAAGAGATTCAGAAAGCAGTATGGCCCAATTACAAAGGTAATTAATCAAGAATGCACAATCAGGTTGGCCAGCAAGACTTCTGTTCTGATTGACTGAGCTTAACACCTGTCTGATGTCTTTTCTAAATTTTATGTTTTGATTTGGAGTTTCTGTTTGTGTGTTCTTCCTTTTGATCTTAAGTTAATTTCTTTGTTAGATTTGTTAACATAAAATCCAGCACTATGAGCATAGCTCTTGACTTTGATTTTTCAGTTCATTGCAAAGTATGATGATAAGTTCTTCTTTGATCCGTCCTCAAATTCAATCAGTCTGAAACAATATACATCCTCTAGTGTGATGTCATCACAACGGAAGGAGACAGATATTCCCAAGGCTACCAACTTAGAGGGAGACAACCCCAAAAAATCCAGGTATATTTAGATGTACATGTACTTATATTTTTTGTAACTGAAATGGACACATAATTTATATAACTTTTGATTCATGCTCTGTTTCTAAGAATGCAGGCAGTGTACTGTCTTTACGGAGGACTTTTTTGATAAATAAATTTAATCTCTTCCTGTAAAATTCAAAATTTTATCATACTCATAATCACAATATTCAAAAACGCTCAATAGGTTAATAAATCAATAAAGCAGGAGCTGAGTGTATAATAAGTCCTAGTTACCCATCATATCCATGTAAAGAAATGAAACACTTCGTTTATAAATTTGGTTTTTTTAAAAAAAATTTCATGTTACCTAATCTGCTCTATGTATTTTGATTTTATGTTTTGTTCAGGCCCCCCTCACCTCCCCCTCCCTCGGGGTACTGCTGGTTTCACTTTAATGACAGTCACGTACATCCCGTCAGAGAACAAGAACTCCAGAGCACATACTCAGGGAAGTCCAGTGCCTACATGTTGTTTTATAGACGAATTGTCAACCAGTCGTATAATGGTGAGAACTCGTGATTAGTGATTTTCTGTTTAACTTTACTACTAGTTTTGAAAGGGAAAGACACAGTATACCAGTACAGTAAAACCTGCATATAGTGAACATGCTTATAATGAATTGATGCTTATAGCAATGTGATTTTCATTCCTTTTGACTTTAAAATACATGTATATTGAAGAATGAACGTACGAGGGGCATTTCAAAAGTTCTGGCAACTGGTATATAAAATTTTAACTACGTTACGGATTAAAATGAGTCTGATACCACTGTAAAGCTTAGGCAAATATGCATTAGTAGTGACATCATTTTACATTCAAAATGACGTATAGGTCTGCTAAAGTGACGTCATAATTAGGTATACTCTGTATACTGGGCATAAAGATGACTGATAAGGAGAACAATTTTTTTTTTGAGCAAAGAGCGTATTGCATAATTCACTCATTGCTTGGCTTTACGGCAACAGAAATAAAAGCCGATTTAGATGTAGTATATAGAGAGCATGCTCTTTTATATCGAGCAGTAGCAAGATGGGTAGTTCAATTTAAAGAGGGTAGAAATTCAATTGAAGATGACACCCGTTCGGGGCGTCCAGTTTGTGCATATGGCGAAAAAGAAATCGTCGTTGTTCAAAATACGATAGCTGATGATGCTAGATATACAGTTGAGGAAATAGCAGACTTAACTAACATTAATTCTTCAGCAGTTTTTCGTATTTTAAAGGAAAACTTAAAGCTTAGGAGAGCCTGTGCTAGATGGGTGCCGCATCTTCTCTCGGAAGAGCAAAAGCGCATCCGGGTAGAAATGGCTTCACAGTTGCTAACAATTTATGAAGATTGTGACCAAAGGCGAATAAATGAGATTGTAACTGGTGATGAAACATGGATATATTTTTTTGAACCGGAAACTAAGCTCAATAATAAAGTTTGGATCGGTGAAAATGATACAAGGCCTCAAATTGCATGCAGAAACCGGTCTGTCTGGAGAGTAATGTACGCCTTATTTTTTGATTCTAAAGGCTCTATTGCTCAAGTTCCGGTTCCAGAACACAGCAGTGTTACTGGTCAATTTTATGCAGAGAATGTCTTGTCTCAGGTTGTTGAGCACTATAAAACGACCCGACCAACAACTAGTACTAGAGGAATAAAGCTCCTCCATGACAACGCACCTGCCCATAGATCAGAGGTAGTAATCAAATATTTAAAGGAAAATGGTATTGCCGTTTTACCACATCCACCCTACAGACCTGACCTAGCTCCATGCGATTTTTGGTTGAATGCCGTTATAAAAGAAGCCCTCCGAGGACGGCGATTTGAAAGTCGTCATGCAGTCGGAAGTGCCGTATTCCAGTGTATGAAGCGTATACCGAAAGAGGACTATAGGGCGGCATTTTCCACGTGGATTTCAAGACTGAAAAAGTGTGTCCAGGTCAGCAGAGACTATTTTGAGGGATTGATATAATTTAATTAATGATAATGACGCTCATTAATTTACCGCACACCAGTTGCCAGAACTTTTGAAATTCCCCTCGTATATAACAAATTACTCTTATAATGAAGCAAAATTGTCCATCCCTGGCTCTTCATTAAAAGCATATTTAACTGTATGCAATATTAGGTGTTTGATTGACATCTGTTACCCAGAGATTGGTGAGGGCATATAACTGTGGAGTTGTATGTCAGATTCTCAACAGCTCAGACCTTAATATACCATATATATTCTTTTTTCCATGGGTTAAAATTTTATGGAATTACAACTTCTGTTCAATCATGTAACGGGACCAGTGTATTTTAGGGACAAAAATAAGGCAAACCTTTCCCAAAGTACAGGTTCTAACCCTTGTATTTATTTAATTAACTATAGATAGTACTTGGGATTGGAAAGTCTTATTACACTATTGAAGATATGAGCCACACTGGTTGAAATGTATACCCAGGTTCTTTAGTGATTCCTAGATTATGATCAACACCTTGTTTTAAATGAAAAGATTGTAAAGTTTTATAATTTATTATAACAAAGGTGAATATGATTTCAGACTAGTTGATAACAAAAAGTAATTATGGTTCCAAAATATAACTGCTGAATTTAATCAAAATGATTAAATAACAAGATATATGAAAAATAAGAGGGAGGGGGAAGAATGTGACAAAATTTTAAAAATGTATTTATTGCACTAAAGAGCTTCCATACACCCAAGAATGTAGGCCAACGCTAATAATAACACAGGGATAGCCTAAATATATTTATATTACTGAAATAAGGTAAGGGATATCTAATTCTACCCTGAACCAATGAGTGACTCTACTATGGGTAACTACATTCCTAACACTTTGCTATCGAACTTGAAGTTCTTAAAGCACGAACCTTGCCGTTCTTGACCCCTAGCAGAGTGAAGTTAACGAGTTGAGTAGCTCTATTTATAAGTAAAGGAAGCCAATGAAATACTAAAAATAAATGCCTAATATGATTGGCCAGGACTCAGTCTCTTAGCCAATGAAATTACAGAATATATATTACGTTTGGAATGACTGACAATATGGCGGGTACAACGAATTACTTAAAGAAGTGAAAGGTAAACATCTGTAATATCAAAATATTTGCTTTACACGATTTTAAAATGACTTCTGAAGTAAATAAATGTAATATAGACATAATATTTAAACTTTACAGTTGGAAATCTGATATCCTAAAGTCAAAATTGTCACATTCCCCCCTCCTTAAAACAAAAATTACAATTTTTGTACTACAACATTATGACAAATTTTGATATAACTGTTAATGTTTATAACCCCCAACTGGGTACCGGTGATCCCTAGCATTAAAATCATCTGGAAGGTCGAACAACGGCTTTCTAGGTTGGTTCCTCATTCTTTCTTGCCTTGCTTTCTCTTTCTCCTCGTGGTAAATTCTTTTCCTAGGTTTCTTGAATGATCCAGGATCCACGAACTTCGAATTTTCAACAATCTTTCCCGAGATTTGTCCCACTTGTCTTTCCTTATGAGCCCTCTTACAATGTCTAGTGATTTCTGACCTCTTAGCATCTTTGATCTTACATATAGGGCAACTGTATAACATTATCTTCTTTTTATGAAATCTGTTGAAGTGAGGAACGAAGTTGTTTAGGTTCTTGAAATGGTGTCCGCCATTTGGACATCCAGGCACAGGACAGGTCATGCCTCCCTCAGGCCATTCATCTCCTTCCTCATCTTCCTCCAAAAACTCCATCTCCTTCTCGTCAACCTCAAGATTGAGGACATCCTCCATGTTTACTTCTAATTTAAAAGACAAAATTGGGTATTTAACATTTAAATAAAGTGTTTATACTTTTCCCTTAACTCCATTATACTACTTTTAATATATAGAACTGAATTGTGTAATAAGTTAGACATCTATAATCACATGACTTGCTATCTTGTCTACAAAGTCTTGAGTTTAATACACCGGCCGGTATTTACTATCTTGTCTATCACAAAGTTCCTACTGTAATCAAGATATCTAACTTAATAGATGATAATCTAATTCAGAAAACTATAGAGATAATAACTTTGTTCATCTACTGAACCACAAATATATTGTAGCTTCTATCAATGAATCATTATCCATAATTCTGAAGTTAGATGAATTAAACAATAAACAGAGTGTACTGTTCTGACTCCTAGATATTTCTATATGGTCAACTACGGTGTTTCATTATCGTGAAAAGAAAACATCTCTCATTGACTATATCCATTAAAATCAGAATCAGCAATAAGTTTTGAAGCAAAATAATTGGAGCCAAAGGAAAATTATTAACTTAAAGTAAGAGATGTAAAGAATTTTGAAGTTAAATTTTAAAATAATAAGATACCAGCTAATGTGGAAAAATAAACAAATCACTAAATGTTATCAACTAGACATATATCACATCTATTAGTATTTACAAATTAAAATAAAAGATTGGTTCAGGGAGAATAGATATCCCTAGGCTTTATAGCTCTACCAACTCTGGATCTCTTAATTACTGGGCTAGGGTCTTGTAAAGGAGATGAAATTAATTCATCTTCACTAATCAGTTCATTTTCTACAGGGGTAATTTCAAAATCTGAATCTATGTCTACAGGGGGAGTAACTTGTTGTATAATCCAACTGTCTGGAGGGGAAATACCCTCATAAGGTTTCAGGTGATCCACATGTACAACTATACACGAACTGTCTGGTGTTTTCTTAATTCTATAGGTTACCTCTGTAATTTTGTCAATGACTTTATAGGGACCTATCCACCCAAAACCTAATTTTACTCCTGCTGTTGGAGGATACCATCTCCAGACAAAATCATCTTTTGAAAATGTTCTTGGTTTCAAACCCCTATCATAATATTTCTTCTGTTTTACTGCAGCTTGTTCAAGATTCTTATGCACAAAATCATGAGTATCAGTCAAAACACCTTTCAACCATTCTACATATTCACTGGGACAAACTGGATTAGGGGTGTCAGGAGGATTACCTATGATAAGATCTATAGGACTATTATTTTCATGACCGAACATGAGCATATTGGGAGAACACCCAGTACTTTCTTGTATTGATGACCTATATGCCATGAGAACATACGGCAAATTCTCATCCCAATTATTTCTGTTGTCATTTGCATAGCTGGTCAGCATTTGCTGTAAAGTCCTATTAAACCTTTCTACCAACCCATCGGACTGTGGCCTATAAGGTGTAGTCCTTGTTTTTTCTATCCCTAACTTTTGACATAATGTTGAAAAGAGTTCAGACTCAAACTCGCGACCCTGATCAGTATGAATCTGCCTAGGAACTCCGAAAGTACAAATAAACTCAGAGACAATTTTATCCCCAACTGTTAAAGCTTGATGATCAGGAACTGCATATGCCTCAACCCATTTAGTAAAATAGTCACAAAGAACTATAATGTATTCATTTCCATCACTGGTGACTGGGAGGGGACCTACAATATCAACTCCTACCCTATCTAATGGAGCACCTGTAATAGACTGATGAAGAGA